GTCTGCCGTTGGAGAGTACTCTCAGTTGAATAGAACAGTTGCAATCGCATGGCTTTATGACGTGCGAATGGGGCCATTGACCCCAGGTCTCAGTATTGTTTGTGTCCCAGCACTGATCTACAATACAGTTACTCGGGGTCTGGTACTATGACGAGCAACGGTGGCCTTCTTGTAGTTGTGTGGTAGCATCCATTTGTCGATCTGAATTGCCAGGAACAGGCAATATGCACCGACAGTGACGGATTTGTCCTCTGTATAGAGCCGCTTGAAAGCCACAGTGTGGGAATCCTTTGCTATGATGATCATCCACTTGCGCCCACGTAACTCTTCATGGTAGAACTCGGGCGGCTTCTCATCTGCATTCATACAAAATTGACGATTGTGAGTTTTTGGCGCGAGTCCAAGACCACCCATATTTCATCTAGGGCCGGGGTGCGTTTTCACAGTTGTGAGTGACATCTCATGCTGAGAACATTACTGCTAGAGGTATAGAATCGGTACTGCGTTCGTGCTTCTATAAGAAAATTAGGTACCCATGCGCCACCCTCTTGACCATCCTCAGTTTATCGGACATAACTCGGGCAGCAGTTGCAGCTGGGATGTCAGACTCGCGGGGAAGCTCGACAAGGGGTCCAGGCTCTGTGATCAGATATTCAGTGCCTGACTTCATCCACCCTTTTTTCTTGTGCAGGATGAATATTATGGGACCATCCACGACAACAAATTTTTTCCTTTCTTCCTTGTACGGGCTCCTGAACCAAATCTTCCACCGTGTATTTCGAGAACACCCTTACACACAACTATGGTCCGGCGCAGGTCAAATTTGAGCAGCGCACTTTCCTCTTATGACGTCTGATTTGAAAAACCGGCGCCGATTTTCACCACTCGGGCTTCTTTTCAATTTCTCGAGAACTTCTTCTGGGGCTAGGTTCGCCAAATTTCACAGATACACAGCTTAAGGTACTAGCTTCCAAATGGTATAGTAGCCCGCTGCTCTATCCCCTTTGCTTTTCTGCCATTCCTCTATATGTAGCGGCACGTTTGAATGGGATGACCTAATATTAAGCTATATACCCTCCCCCCCCCCCTCCGCCTCGACGGCTCGATTCGATGAGGAGGGACAGAGGGCCGGAGGGGGAGGGGGTCGCACGGAACTCGACTAAAATCCTCGACCAATAATGTGCCCTGTCTCTTCCGCATAAAGACAAAAAAGAAGCACTTTGCTTTCAACCTTGCTCATGGTGCTGACCACTACAGTCAACGCCGTATGCCGAGCCAAAATGAAAACCCTGAGCATTTTAACCCATCCATATTCTTCAATAAGCGAGGGTAAGGCTTTCACCACTGCCTTTCCGTTGTGAGAAACTGCAAGCCACCATCGAGCTCTAAGGGCGACCTCATTCACTCGAACGCAGCATGGTGATTCCAGGCTTCAACCCCCGAAAGGGAGGGGGTCCTGGAGACCATCCCTTCGATACTAGAAGGCACTAGCCGCTCACCAGTTAGGACAACATCGCTAGGTTCATAATATTAACTAATGACTTGAGTTTACCATCATTAGTGATTGTCCACATTATTCATTTAAAATTTGAAAAATTCATTCCGCCAATTAAAAGTGAAAAAAAAGTCCGAGGGACGCTTTCCATGAGCGGAATTACTTTTTTCATCGGCCCTACTCCTCGAGGAGAAAACGCTGCCACTGCCATCTCTTCCCAATCTAAATGTCTTCGCGTTTATTTTTTTCTTTTTTTTCGGTAGAAAAAAGCTCAATATCGTAATAACATACTTGATTCAACCAAATCGGGGACCACCAAGAAGGCGAGTTGCATCGTCGTCTTCGTACAGCTCGACACCGAAGAAGTTTGGCTTGGAAAGGAGTAACTGGTATCTTCAAAGCTTTTTTAAATAAAGATGAGTAGACTTTGGACTGGACTCTACTACAGTATTCGGACTATTTATACATACAGGGGCATTTGAAGCAATGGTACGTTGGACTTCGGTAGAGCGCAGCTTAGAAACGGAGCCTCTTTTCAGCTCGAGCTTCCACCCCTTTCGCTTTCTTTTCTGTGGACAGGATGTTCTGCGTAGCGCGAACAAAAGTTGCTAGTCAGAGGATTCTTGATTACGCCCCGAGGAGGAAGAAGCTCTGGTGTGGTTGTCGTACCACAGAGCTCCTTTCTCCTAGGTACAAGGAGAAGTGTTCTGGACACCTCACAGTTAGTAAAAGCTAAATGTTTTCCAAAGTACCTCAAAGCGTCTCAAATAGTGCAACACTATCCCGCAGCTTGAGCGTTTTTTTGACAAGGATTAATTCGGACTCCTAAGAGCACAGTCCTTTTGAAATTATACTTTCTCGCAATACCCACCTGTAAACTGAACTTTCGACCAAATACGGAACTAATCGGGTAGGTGAGTTTGATTCGAGAAGTCGGTTCGGCACCTGGCTCACTCAGAATCACATAGCCATTCTGAAATTCTTTGAATGAAATCGTTTAAATGCACTTGTTCAATGTATCTCCTGTAACCAGTACACTACCTACTGCACCACGGCGGGACCACTGGTATGCCAGCGGAACATCTAATTTCCTTGCCTGGAGTTGGGTTTCGCCTGGTAGTTACCTATTCGAGCAAACAGCCCACGGAAGTAAGTAAGTGTCGGTGATTAATAAAGTCAAAGACCGCAATCATTCGCCATCGGCGGATCAGGAGTTTGTATAATATATAGATGATTAGCGTTGTGAGTTAATTCGATGAGCTAAGGAAAAAGCAGTAAGAAAAACGTGCCGGACGGCCTTCAAATAGAAACCCCACTCCGCGACTCCCAGTTTGTATGTAGTTTTGCCTAAATAAACCGTCTCCTCCATTACGGACTTTCAGTCCGCCCACACTCAGTTCCCCAATAAGAACTTACGATGCGTGCAAGTGGCGATCTTCATGCTTTTTCGTCCTGCAGCTGTTTTTCACTGAGAATTAGGCCTTGAGGACGTAGTCTGCGAGGGGAAGTCACTGGAAAAAAAGAGGCGTCACTGAACTTATAGTGCGCTATAGCGCCTCTCCCTTACAAATTTTTGATGCGAAATCGGTGCAAGGTTGTTCGTCACGGACCACACTACCTCCCGACACCATTTTCAACTTCACTATACCTCGGGACCGTACCTTTAAATAAGCACCTGGTTCCGATTTAGAGAGGTGCGGGAGCGAGAGGCTAGTGCCGCACTTTCGCTACTTCTCTCTGTTAGTTCACGTCAACAAGCCCTACTTTTGGAAGATCTGTCTGGTGTACGCTTGTTAAGCTGCAAAAATGGGATTCAATTGCACTGGGGTTGAGGAAATTTAAAGAATGCACGAGGTGGTCTCTCCACACTTTACTGGCTACCATTTGGTGCCTCCGCTAAGCCGACCTGCTTCTAATGCTAATAACATAAGACTGTAATGCATTCGGAAAACTGCATTGTTCTAGAGCCTGCTACGGCGATTTCAAGTCAATCGGCTTACTCACATGAAGATTAACACTTTGTAAACTCTAAGAGTGGACAAACTCGCACGATGTGGAGGTGTCAGCCATCCTCATTTGGTGAGTTCTTCCCGACTAACTCCATCTCCAAAACTATGCCCTCATTCGCAGCGCTTGGCCCCCCTATAAGAACTTTACGACCGTAGAAGTAACGACTTTCATGCTTTTCGTCCAACAGTCTGTTTCTCACTGGGAGGTCCCCGAAAGCGGAGTCTGGAGGCGGAGTCACTGGTAAAAGGAGGCGTCACTGAACCAATGTTGCGCTTTAGCGCCATTCCTTACAAGATTTTTCGCCGCAAAACCTGCAAAGGGTTCCGTCGCAGATCACACTACCGTCCAGACGCATATTTTCAGCTTTCAACTTCAACAGAGGCTTTAAGACAATCATGAGAAGTAGCTGCAATTATTTTCATCTCACAGGAGTCTTTCCTTCACAGGAGCCTCGCAGGGGTCTTTCCACCGTCGCCCTAGTACGAATTTGGACACTTTTCTCTAGTTAGCAGTGCCGGGACGGGATTACGACATGTCCTCATCCTATCATGCTTCGATCTCACTCCAGGAGCAACTGACCAACTTACTTATACCTATGTAGCTTTTAACAGTCGACAATAGCCTTGAAGTACTCACATAGAACTGCCGAATTGGCTCGTTTAATTGACAGAAACTGTCGCAGAAGTGATTAAAGCTCTCATTCAGTCCAGTGAGCCGATTATACATGGTAACATTGTTCATCGCATGATTTAATATCTGAAATGCGGACAATCAGGAAAGAAAAAAAACTGGAAGAAATCACAAAAAACTTTTAAAAAAAACAGGAACTAACGTTTGAAGTTCACTACATCGGTCACTATGACGTGCAGGTACATACGGTATACAATTCTTATGTCTTACCTTGACCGCTTCACGCATGTATTCCGGTCGTATCATACTACCGTTGTCCTTTGCCACTACAAAAAGATATGGGGCGACCGGTAATCCTAAAATATCTCATTATTTCCACAAATATTGATCTAGACTAAGTTGTGAAAACAATGGAACTGTGGAACACTTCCTAAAGGGAGTCCGTATTCGCTATTCTAGCAGGCTTTTTTCAAATAAAAAAATTTCTGACTAA